TATATAATTTTATTAAAGATATGAAATTAAAAATATAATATAGTTCAAATATATTTATATCTAATTATATATTATTTAACAGAATAAAAAAAATTTTAGATTTATTAATTATTTTAGTAATATTATAGTATATTTTATATTAAAATACTTAATAACTTTATAATTTAATTTCATAATATTATATATTATTTGTAAGAAATAAATATTTTAATGATTAAGTAAAATAAAAAATGTAATATATTATTTTATTGATTAAGAATTTAATTTAATTTTAATAAAGAATTATATTATATAAAATATATATATAAAGTATTATTATTATTATTACTTTTTATTAAACTATAATTTAATAAATAAATATAATATATTTTAGTTAGATTTTATTTATATTAAACCAGTAATATATTTTTTTAATTATTCTTTTTCAAATAAATATATAAATAAAATATATTTACAAATATATTCTTTTATTTTATATACTTTTCTTATTATATTACAAATTATAAAAATACTTTTTAATTATAATTATAAGAATAAAGTAAAAAAAGATATTTATAATATCTTTAAAAATATATTAAATCAAATTATTCTAGAATTTTACTAATTATAACAAATAAATTATTATATATTTAATTTTTAATAATAGTTATTTTACTATAGTATCTGTTTAAAAAAACTAAAAACTGAAGACAAAATTAAGATTAATACAAGTATAATAAAGTGAATTTATATCTTTATGAATCAAGTAAAAGAAGTTATATCTTAAAATATACTAAAGTCAATATTTAAATTTTATAAAAAATATTATTACTAAATTATTAGTAATTAAAATAAAATTATCTATTTAATGAATTAAAATTTATAATTTTAAATTCAGATAAATATGAATACTATGAAAATATAATTATATATCTCTAAAAAAGTATTATATAAAACCTATAATAAAATTCAGAGATGAAAATATATGATTTAAATTGCTTCAGATTCTTTGAAATTAACAATATTTTATGTATTTATAATTATATATGTAAGAAATTATATTACAAAATCTTAAATAATAAAATTTAGAAGCAATCCAGTTACATAATATTATTAAAATAATATTATCTTTCAATAAGATAATAATTCAAAATACATAATAAATTCTATATGCAAATAATTTAATAATAATGATATTTATTTCCTTAATTACTGAACCAATCACCTGATTTTAATTCAATTAAGAATCTTTGAAATGAAATAAACAATTGTTTGCAAAGATCTTTATACTCAGAACCAACTCTGGAATATTATCCAAAAGTCTGGATCAAAATGAATAATACTAATCTAATTGAAAGTATGGAGGAGCATATTCAAGATGTCATAAATGCAAAGGGTGAACATACTAGATGATGAAGAATAGTTAGTTAAAATTTGTTCAAATATTGTTTAGAATTCGTTGTTTTTATTTTTTTTTTTGATACATAATTTGATGTAAAATTGGAAGACTTTCTTAATTAAAATAAACAAAAATCAAAATTAGCACGTAAATTTTCTTAGCTATGAAGACTTAAATGAGCCTAGTTTTATATTGTTTGACATTGTATAGATTCCATAATTCAGGATATTCTGGACAAGATAATTTGAAATACATAAAATTACAAATTCCAGAAAGTTTAATATTAAAAGAAGTATACATGTAGTAACGAAGATTTTTGCTCTGATTCCTAAGAAAATTTTAAATGGAATGTTTTTTGTAATCTTTATATTCATTCGTTAATTTTTTTAAAATTCGAGTCAGTTTGAGGAAATGCGAACAATGTAAATTCAGTTACACTCTCATATAAATACTTCTATACATTGATTAATTGAATTAAATTTGCATTGAAAAAGTTTAATCCATGTTTATATACTAATTCGAGAGAAATTAAGAATTTGAGAATAGTTGATGAAGCGAATAAGTTGGTATAGGTACATACAAAGCGAGCGATAAAAACAAAGTAAAAGAGAATTGAATAAAGAGATCATGAGAATATTTGAATAAGAAATATATGTTAGAGGTTAATAATAATGATAAGGGAATCAACGACACCAAAATCGTCGTGAACAGCGTGATCAAACAAATGTAATGAAAAAAAATTGGCACAATCCTAGGCATCTGGACTCGTAAAGCCGCTTATGGACATAATGCTCAGAGGATAAGAAAACAGAGGCGATGGACTCGTTTTTGGCGCATTAAGTTTTTTCTTATCAACAACTAAAAACTTATAACGATAAAGATATTCTACCATAATATTAAATATCAAAAACGTGCGATATTAAATGACGTACCGGCTTCAAAATATTATCAACTCCAAGCAGAACCAAAGTCAGCACAATGAGGATTTCTGTTCTAAAATATGAAAAAGAAAAAAGTGAATATTCATTATTAGAAACAAACTTAAACATTGGCTTTTATTGGTCATTAAATCAGGAAAAATGAATATGTAAGTGAACAAAAGCAAGAGTGGAATATTCTCGTGAAGAAAGAATAAATAAATATTCCTGTGGATGATTTCTTTTTATATTTTTTTCGACTAAATAGTCTATACAAATATTATATAATGAAGATCCAAGTTCGATATATCAGTATGCTTACAGGAATAAATTATCCCATATATGATCTGATAAATGGCTAAAGATACAAATTACAAGATAGATTATTATTACATTCTCACTATCTCAACACAGATAATTGAACTAATCAGCGAAAAAAATATGTGTTGTGGGAAACAAATCGTTACTGAGTGAATAACTCATGCCACTCTTTATTGAAAGAATAATATATAAAACTAATTATATACAACAAGTGAAAACACATTCTTCAGTATTAGTATGTTGAGTGTGAATTGTATGTACCTGAACCTGGCTACAATCTAAAGAGAATTTTTATTATTTTTTGTTTAAACATCAAAACGGCTGCAACAAATTAATTATAAATATAAAAAGATATTATAATGGTTTTTTTTGAAAGATTTACCAACGTTAAATATGTTTGCAAGGAGGTTTGGATCAATTTCTAAAGCAACCTGATTGGATGGACTATTTAATATTACCTGTCAAGTGAGAAATAAACTTAACGATTAGGCGTAACTAAAGTTGTGTTGAAATCATTACACATTTCGAAGTAAAATACTTAGTAATTTTAGAATAAAAAATTGAAAGTGAAATAATCAAATTTTTCAAAATATATTCAGATCGCTCTTAAATATCTATTGGGTTTATTATGGAACAACTAAAAACGAGGTTATCGTGAATATTTAATAGAGAAGACTTTGCGAAGATCGTAAACTCCGTAAGTATTTCATGTATTAACGTTAATTCCAATTACATGTACGTACGTACATGTAATTCCAAATTTATTTGAAATGAAAGTTGAAATTTTCAGTTATTTTAATAGACAAGTTAAAATAAAATTTATTGTAATAATGATAAGTAAGGTTTGTTTATAAACTTTTTATAAACGAGTGACTTATACAACATTTAAATAATTAACGTTATATTAAATTTGACTTTAATCAGATATTTTAAGGTTCGTCAAATCTTAATACAAGATCTTGAACTAAAATATTTTAGATGCCCAAAACCATTTCACCATTTAAGTTGACATCACTAATCCAGTCACAGTTGAATGCGACAAACTATTTAGATAATTGATATTGTAAGCCAGTCACCTACATATTTTTGTGCACATGTATTTTGCAATGCAAAAGGAAAATTGACAAAAGACATGGCATGCATAGTAAATTCCAGCTATATGTAGTCGCATGCTCAAATCAGGCATTTTTATATGAGATTTTATATTTTGGTGTGATTATTGTCAATGTTATTTACATGTATTTGTCTATCATTCCTAATTAAGCATAACTTTTAAGTATCCCTTTTATAGATAGCACCCTAAATATGACTATCAGTTTTCAGTTGGTGAACAGGTTACGAGGCATTCATATTTGGAACAGCACCCTTCATCGTATCGGTATGTACAATTAATCATAGAGAATGCGTTTCTATTCCAAGATTTTAATAAAAATAGAAATAAATGAAAATTAATGTTTATAGGAAATCAAAAATCATTTATAGGCTTAAAATAGCAACAATTGCCACTCGATTAACTCATTGTTCATTTATCAAAAGAAAATTATTATTTACAAGGACCATTCTGATGATCTATCATAGTTATAAATTAGTAATACTATGTTCCATATTGATGTCTATGAATGATAATAAAACTACATAATTTCTATATTTAGTAATTAATAATACATGCCATGTCCATGATTTTTCCTTTTATATTTTACATGTACATGTATTTGGACATTTGGAATCGGGGGGAAATGATCACTTCCCAAGTGTAACAATGCGCGTAATCGAAATCTATGCGATGCTATGCTAAGCGTCGATTTCCTTTTATATTTTACATGTACATGTATTTAAGATTTTTACATGTATTAGTATGTTACATGTAGTAGACATTTGGAATTGGGGCACTTCCCAAGTGTAACAATGCGTAATCGATATCTATGCTAATCGTTTCACAATGTACAGTACCCAATTTGAATAGTAAAATATATACTGTACATGTATAAAAATTTTTTCATGATATTATAATTAAAACAGTTCTTGCATCTTAAGACGTTCACAACGTACTCGGCCCATTTTTAATTAGGGCTTCAATCAATTTTGACGCCTGTTCTGTTTTCTGTATTCTTTTATTTTTTGGACTTGTTAATTGCATGTGATCAGGAACCGAGCACAGATCGAATGATTAGAACTTCCAGATCTAAAAAAGTTCAAAATCTTCAAAAATAAAACTCATCAATAAGGCTTGGAAATAAGAAGTTTCCTTTTTTTGTTTGAACTGCCCGATGTTCTCCACAATGGGATGGGTTTCCTATTTTCGGTCATATAAGGTATGGGATTATTTTTTAACTATTTTTTAATTCATATCAATTATTAATGGTTTAGTAAAAGAAAAATATTGTTCAGAATGACTCTGTTCCACTCTCAAGAAATTTCAAGCGAAAATCCTTCAGTTTCTCCTCCCCTGATCTTCCTACCCATGTATTCATATATTCTCTGGTTTTACCTAACGGAGTTTTCTTGATTGCTTTTGCAATGATGTCTTTTGAATGGAACTCAATGTAATTTTCAAGTAGATGCTTCACCATGTCCAAATGATCATATTTCGCCGAAAATTTGAGAAGATTCCATTTTTTGCCACCTTCTTGCTCGTTCCATTCCTTTTGAATATCCTCGATATTGGTTATCATAGTCCTTAAAATATCAATATCAAAACCGTATTTAACTGCTGTCCAAAGATGATTTGGGTAGGCTGGTACCTTTTTCTTGATGTTAATATACCTGAAATGAAATTATACACGGCGGCGTTATTATATTTTCTCAAGAAAAGCTAAAATTAACATAGACCAATTTCGATCTTACATGCTCCTAGACTCCTCATTAAAATCAGTATCTCCATAAATCGAGGCACCGTTTGCAACCATCGCTAAAATTAAGTCATGTGACCATTTTTTATTTCGAGGAGATATCTGAGATTTGAAATATCGATATATAATCACTATATAGTATAATCAACATCGATATAGACAGACATCAAATAGAATAATAAACTTTACTTTTAAAAATTGCTTATCCAAAGCCGAAGTATTTTCAAGCCTTAGATAAATTTAAAGATTCCATTAGTATTAGTCACTCTTGATATATTAAAATTCGACAATCAAGAAGACCTACCGAATAGCTAATCCTAGAGCACTATGCCCAGTGCGATTTAAAGTATTTATAGAAAAACCTTTCCCAGTCAGCCATTTTACAACAGCTTCAATATCCTCGGGATTAATCCGTATTTCATCAGATATGGGATGAAGACAAGAAGTGCTGCCAGAATACATCAAATCCGAATGAAAGTAGAAATTGTGAAGAACAAGAGAATGAAAAGGTGTAGGTTCTGACGAATCTTGGGAGCTAATACTATTTCCATAATGATGATGTAAGCTGTTAAGAAAAGCTATTTTTTTCTCAAAAGGTGTGTATATTAAAATAATTTCATATAATTCCATATAAGCAAATTTCGGTAATTTTTGATTCTTTTGAATTTGAACTATTTTGGAATAATCTCCGAATTCCGAAAAAAATTGACATCCCTTAAAAGCCTTCGGATCGTTGTTTAGATGCCAGTTGAAACCAGAGATATCTCCAATTGCTGCATGAACGCCGGGGTGGCATCTTGGGGAAAAAATATCGCGACGAAAGTAATCATAGAATTGTGTATAAATTTCGGTGCAGGTTTTCTTATATATAAGTTCGTTCGTTGTTACATCTTCTTCAGTGATCCGGGAAGACTGACGAGAATTTCCAAGTTTATTCTGTAATTTTGGCAAAGATACAGAGAGAGTTGGATTATTTTGCCGAATTGTGGGAGGAACGTAAGGTTGTTTCGGATCATCCCATGATGAAACATGCAATGGATTTTGGGGCGACTCATATGAAGCATACGGAGGAGGTCGAAATTGATTCTGGGGAGAGTCTTTTGAAATATAGGACGGAGGAGAAGGTATGATAACGGCCCGACCTGTCGGTTGTGTAAAGTTTGATCCTTCATCATGTCCGATCAAATGAACGTTCCAAACGTCAAATAAACTTGGTTCCTGATTATTAGAATAATCTCGTAGTCCTAAAGAGCCAGAAGGTAGTTTATTTTCTTCCATATAGTAGAATACCTTTAAATCTTGTCTCAATTTTGTTGGCAAAATCTTTTTATAAGGTCGGACTTTAGTGTAATAATCATTAGATTTCAATAAAAAGAAACGTATATGTTTCAAGTGTGGCCCAATTACTTCCTTCAACTGTTCAAAATTTCTTTCAGACCATGTACTAACATCAGATTGTAGCTCAGAATGATTTGCTTTACCCCAATCAATCAATCGTTGCCATATTTTGATCTCGGGTATATTCAAATCATTTCGTTTTAAAATGATTTCTAAATTGGTGCTGGACAATAAAGAGAAATCACCAGCATCAAATATTAATTGAGGATTTTCGCGATAAACAGATTCGCAATAGGTACGAAGTTTAGTGTAAGAGGTGTGCTGCCATGCGACATCAAGAGTCTTTATGAAATTTTCTTGAATATAGGTTTTGTCATTGTTTAACAAGTATAGCTGAATATAATCAAGAAGAGAATCGAGTATTAATTCATCAGCTGCGGCAAGTAATGAAAGATAATCAATGTCATTGTTTCGTATTTCTTTTTCAAGATCGATTTCGCCGGTATATAGAAACCTATTTTGTTAATTCAAATAAAGTTGTGAGGAAGTGGAATTCTGTGATTAATCCTTATCGATATTAAATCACTCACTTCAAAATACACTCAAAAATATTGGGTTGTATATTTGGCTTTCGTAAAATGAATTTATTTTCCTCCTTTACCATTTCCTCATTTAATATAGCTGCATTAAAATAAGAACTTCTAGCACAGAGAATGACTGAATGCGCGTTAAAAATTTTTTCTCCATTAATTGAACTGACAATAATTTTCACATCGTAATTGTTAGTCTGCTTGTCATATATTGAAGAAATATCCTGGAGAAATTCGTGCCGTAATTCATTTATAGAGAACATTTTGAGAGAAATCCGGGAGAAATTTGTGGCGTGATTCATTTATGGAGAACATTTTAGAGAAACATAGTTGCTTTCAAGGACCGAATAATACACGTATGAGAAAATTTTCTATGTAAATCATGCGATAAGGGACATTTACATGTATTTTAAGTGCAATGCAATGCACCCAAAAAAGCTAATGGTCTATATACCTGTTATAAACTAGATGATCGTTTAACCTGTGCCACTGAAAAAATTCTCAAGGTTTATAAAAGAATTACTTTTGAGATCACAATTCAATTTGTTATTTAATTTTTCAATAGAAACGCACAGAAAAGATGATCCGATACGCAAGTCCATTAACGCAAGTCATTATAGTTGGTAAATTATAAAAATTTATCAAATTATGAATTTTATCTTTAAATCTCGCTTTTATATTGGTAAATATCCTCTTTTCAATTCATCGTTTTTGTTTACTTTCCTAAAGCTTTGGTACTCTTCTTAACCTCTGGCATGTTTAACGCATTAAATGGTGAGTTATTTTTTTTGAGCTTGATTATTTTATTGTTTACTCAACCTTACATTCTATATTTAACAACAATAGGAATGGGCGGTGGTGGTCAAGTAAATACAGAAGTTGCATCGAATGCAAATGTAGCATTATATACACTTTTTTCAGTCGGAGGTTTCGTCGCGGGAGGAATTGTAAATATCATTGGACCAAGAATAGCAATGGCTATAGGCGCTAGTGCTTATGCATTGTATGCTGGTTCTTTATTGAGTTATAATCACAATCAAAACAGTGGTTTTGTTATTTCTGCTGGGGCATTACTTGGACTTGGCAAGTTTAATATGCCTAGCTTATAATGAATGGTTCCTACATTTTTGTTAATCTCATGATATATTTTAATATTGTAGGTGCAGCATTGGTATGGACAGGACAAGGTGCAATCCTTACCTCATATCCTTCCGAACAGAATAAAGGAAAATATATTGGAATTTTCTGGGCAATATTCAACACGGGTAAAGATTTAGTTTCAGCAGATATTCTTCGCTTCGATGAATTGTTCTAATCCTGCTAATTTTATCATAGGAGCTGTTCTAGGTTCCATTCTTCCGCTGGCTTTAAACTGGCATTCAACAGCTGGATCCGTCAATGACGGGACTTATATTGGTTTCCTTATTTTGATGATTTTTGGTTCTTTTTCGGCCCTTGCACTTCTTCCACCAAGCAGAGTGTTTCATAAGGATGGACATCCGGTACAAGTTGAAAAATTTCCAACATGGAAAACTGAAACCATTGAAATAGCTAAATTGCTTTTGGATTGGCGGATGATTGCTTTAACGCCAATGTTTTTGGCTAGTAATTGGTTTTATGCTTACCAGGTTTGCGCATGAACATATATTCTGTGCAGCTACTTGATTGTATTAAATCTATTGTAAAACTACAATATTCTTAGTTTAACGACGTAAACGCAGCCTACTTCGACGTGCGAACACGTGCTTTTAACAATTTATGGTACTGGTTTTGTCAAATTATTGGCGCCACAGCGTTCGGAATATTTCTCGATACCGCATTTCTAACGCGTCCCAAGCGAGCTCTTTACGGACTTGGCATAATATTTGTATTTACCACAGCGACTTGGATAGGAGGTCTTATATTCCAATTGAAATATAAAAGAGGCGATAAAATAGATAGAGATCTTTTTGATTCTGGATATGGTGGCGAGCTGCTTTTATATATGGTTTATGGATTGAATGACGCGATGTATCAGGTAAATCTTGAAAAGATGCTGCGGTTTAATAATCTTGAATAGATGTGATGTAATTTACGCCATTTTTCGAATATGCTAGTGTTATGCATATTGGATCATGGGTGCATTAACTAATGATACGAGTAAATTATCGCGATATAATGGGTAAGATATTTTTTTTTTACATTTTGTATCAATCGATTTGCTAATCTCTTTTATTTCTGCAGCTTTTATAAAGCAGTGCAGTCGGCAGGTGCAGCAATATCATGGCGAATTGACGCTGTGGGGACTGCATATCTCACACAACTGCTAATATGTTGGGCGCTGCTTACTGTATCCATACCTAGTATGTTTGCTGTTATTATAACTGTTAAAAACACGAATTATAATTTGGAAGAAGTTGATAACGAGGTGGTGTTAGTTGAACAGAAAAAGTACGAAATGGGTTGAATTCCTTTTACAAAATTTTTAAATGTACTCGTATAGCTGTCTTTAAATTCAATATATTATAATGAATTTTTATTAATAAAGGAATTTTATGTTTTAAATCTATGCCTTTTTGCTTTGGTTAAATAATTTGAGAGGTATAACAAATGTTGTTAGTCGAAAGTAATTATTTCGTCAGAAATTTCGACTATTGACATGCTGAAAGCGCTCTCAACATGTGCTCACAATTTGAAGAAATGTCGAAAGTCAAAAAGTAGCTTAAAATGCCTAAATGTTGACTAAATGTCTAATTATGAGTAGCATGGGATTAGTGCCTAACCGGTGAAGCATTAATCGGCTTACTACCAGTTAACGTTAACGTTTAACTGGTTGACCGGTCGAAGTTTTCTTTCAAATTCGCAATTATTGTTTCGCGCAACTCAAGGATTAAAGAATTGTGAACGCAACAGAAGTGAGCGAGTGGGGTTAAGGTTCTAAAGATCTCCTGCGCCAACAAATTATTAAGAAACAAAGGTAAAGGTAAAGGATAAAATAATAGTATTTAATTAATTTAACCAAATTACTAACAAAATATAACCTCAATTTAACTACCTAAAATAACTAAACTAATTTCTAAATTACAATTATTTCAAAATCTTAATATCCAAGACAAGTATATAAGAATAATTCGATTTTTCTAACAGATCTAGAATCAAGCATGATTCATCAACTTGTATGGTCAAAGCAGCAAAGCTTTCAATTATTAAGCACAAGAGAATCAAAGCTATCAATTTTGTTAAGATACAAAAGAGATAAATCTGAAGCTATGTTAAGATTTAAAAAGTAATTAAGTCTATTTAATTTTCTTCAAACTATACAAGACTTATCTCTTTATTTTGTTAGAGCTAATCTTTTTTATATATTTTTTGCTCTTTTTTTAACTACTTTCTATTTTATAAATCTAGATTACAGATCTTTACAAAGCAGAACATATAAAGTATAGATGAGTTTTACAAAAAAGAGTATGACTTCATTATTATTGCAAGTTAAAAATAAGAATTAATTGTTATTAAATATTAATTATTAAAATAAGATAATAATAAATATATATAATAATTATAAAAACTATATCTCTCTAACTCTTTCAAAAATAAAGCAAGATATAATCTTTTTTATTAAAAATAATAAAAATAATAATAATTTTTAAGTATATAATATAGTTACTTTTAGATTCAATTAGTATTATTATATGATATTTCATATTATTTACTAATTTTATAATAAAAACAGTTCTATTCTTTTAAGTCTTAATTTCATAATGTATTATATATTTTTTATAGAATTTTAAATCTGAATATATTTAATAATTAGAATTGTTTCTTGATATCTTTTTCTATTTTTTAATTTTTTGCAATACTTGAAATCATTATCTTCTTGTAGAAATCAGTTTAAGTTACAGAAAATTCTTTATATAGATTTTATATTTAATATTATTTTTATATATGAATTATTACTAAATATTTAATAATATAAATACTTTTTTTTTAATAAATTACCAAACTTTTTTTTATAAAAATAGTTAAAAGATATTTTATTTGTAAAAATAGCCTGATCTCAATCAAAATTTTGATATCTCTTTGCTATTACAGCCATTTTTCAGTACTTTACTATAAGAAAAGATTTTGTAAATATATTTTTCAATTTATAAATGTTATCTAATAATATATATATCAATATTATATTATATTTGAGTACTTATTTATTAAAAATATGCTTCTTAACTATTATAATATTATAATAAATAAGTAGTACTGGGTTATAACTAGTTGCAATCTTAATAATTTTGAGTTATAATATTATGATAAATAGAGCATTACTGTATTGTAATAGTTATGATATCTACTTGTTATACTATTTTTTATCTTTATTATATTCATTATTTGTTTGTCTTGCAAGTATTTTTTGATGCTAGTTGGCAAGAAATTGAACCAAGATTATTATAGGAATAATCATTGCGATGTAATTATTATAATTCATAGAAACTTAAAGATAGATACATTTTGCGAAAGATGATTTTTGGGTAATTGTGCAATCGTATATCCTCCCATTGAATTCTAGACCTCAGTTATCATATTTAAGCGAAAATTCTTCGCACTACTCCATAACTAAATACATGTAGTTGAATATCAAAAATAGAGAAATTAATCTTGTTGAAATCAATTACAAACTATTAGAGCTAAGCTTTATTTGGGTTTATAATAAAAAGATTTCTTTTTATGACAAACAAAACTATCTACAATGAGATTATTCTATAGAGAACTTTTCTCGCTGCAAATTTTTTATAGATGAACATGTACATGTATTGTCCTTTTAGCTTGGTTTAGGAAAAGATTTTCTTTGTACATGTATAATTTTTGGATTCAAAACGGATACAACACACAAAGTTTACTAAAATTAATTGGAAGAATAAACAGATACGTGTATGGGATGCATGTCGATATTATCAATGGTTTATTAAAAGTAGCGTATAAATATTAATATCGTTTCACAATCATTATTAAATAATTTTTTTACCATCCTCTATGAGTTCTGTGTTTTATATAAAATAGATGTCAGTCTCTAGAATTTTTAATAATCAACGAAAAATTTGAAACACATAAACGATGTCAAGAATTTTTTATAATTCTGTATTCTTGATCCTAATTCTCACATTTGCAACGACTTTCGGATTTCCCGCGATTAATCCAGGAGGTCCATATATTCCGGGAGGTACGGATAATCCAGGAGGTCCAAATATTCCAAGTCCAGGACATGGTTGTAAGTCATAATTTATATTTTATATGAATTTTGAACTCTATGAGTTTTTTTCTCATAAATGAAACAGGCTATAATGAAATATTATTTCGCTTATGTATTTTTTTTTTGATTCCCTATAAACAATAATTCACTGAACTTCGAATAGCTTGTGGTTTATGTGGCTGTTGTCCCAAAGGAAAATTTTGTGTCCAAGGCTGTCCAAATCCTAATCCTACATCAGAGGTTTATTAAAGATCCTTGATTTGGATATATTAGTCATAGTTATAATTTCGGCAGGTTTATAATCCTGGTTGAATTTTACAAATCAAGAGTACATTAAAAAATTTATACGTTTGAATAAATTTAATTGGACTTATAGATAAATAACTAGATTATTCTTATATGATTGGATACAACGAATTTATTCAGTGAAATTGTTCTGTATTATTATTCAAATTCGTCTCCAAAAGTTATAAAAACATCTATTGCTAATTCTAAAGAAAATAGAAAAAATATCATTTAATATACACTTTTTTATTTCTTGCTATTTCTGTGACATTTTATCTCATCTGCATAAGTTGTATGATATTGTTTTCAAGGTCATCATCGACAGTGAAACCTATACATGTAGTTGTTGATCTTTCTTTTTCTTGCTAATGACACATATTTTTGTAAAATGTTGTGTGTAAAGATGTATGCGAGGTTTATATTGGTGAATTATAATGACTGCCAAAGGTTTTGCATTATAAAATGCTTTTACCAAAAATTATAGCATTCCAACATTATTCTAACGTCATGTCTCTATTTTCGAAAAATTTTATTGCAATAACGGCTGCTTTCATGTCACCCGTTATGAAGTTAGGGGTTGTAATGAATATGCTTATACACATGAACACAGTTAATGAATCTTAAACCTAATTTGAACTCTGTTATTAAAAAATGAAGCAGGCTATAAAAATTAATTCCATTAAAACTATAAATAGTTCGTCATGTATATGGTTATTATGCCAGTTGAACATCTGTCCCGATACCCGCCTGTTTTGATAAATAAAGCTTTCATGACTTGTGTAGAAGTTTTAATGTTGAGCGTTTAGCAGCCACATTCAAAAGTGGTCGACGCTCAGCAATGGTCTGGTGATGTTTCATAGAAGAAACGTAAAAGCCGCTAGTATTTATGAGCCGCGATGCGAGCAGGGTGGTGAATGACGATTGAATCAGTCAGCGCCTATGATGCCTGGCCTTTTGACGAATATAAAGAAAAAAAAAGAAAATTTTAGAAAACATTAATACCCATACGGATTACAGTATCCTCAAAGTATTATTCAAAATTATATAATGAAACAAATAAAAATGAAAATTTTCAAGCTATATATATACTTATATTTCTTTTAGTAATTAGTTCTAACTTTTATACGCATTTTAAAGTTAATCAATTGTAGTTTTCAAAAAAATGTTACCATTTGTGATTAAGAACAAGAACAATTTAATTATAAAATTATGAAAAAATTTTTTATACAAGCATATGTTTTACTATAAAATTTCAAATCAAACGATATTTTTGAGGATACTGTTACATCTATCCGGTCTATTGGATTTCAAGATTGACAGGCTTAACAGGTTCTGAAAGATTTATATTGTAGTTTATTTGTTATTGAGGGCTTCTTTACTATGTTCTAAAGGTTTTATGCCAGTAACTAACTACAGCTACTGTGGGTGGCAAATGTGTGTTTATGTTACTATAAAGAATGGTTTGGGAATGGAGAAGGGGATTACAAGAGATTATTTAACTATACGTAATGGTGTGCATTTTCGGACGTTTAACTAAAATCACAGAGTTACTCTTAAATCTGTTAACCTTAAAACATAATAGAAACGACAGAATTATAATTTATATGCGATATCTACGCTTTCATCATATGGATAGTCTATAATAAAATATTGCTGCCGTCCAACATCCCGACATCCAACGTCCGACACCCCAACATTCTTCCCGACAATCCAAAATCCAGACAATCCATCTTGCAGACAATCCAACTTTTCAAAATTTAAACCTAACTCTCTTTCCAACTTTCCGAAAAAGTTAGGTTAATTTCTGGTTTATGTCAGGAAATTGAGTTTGGCAGGAAGTTGGATATGTCGGGATGTTAGGTTGTCGGATTAGAATGTCGGATTAGATTGTCGAAATGTTGGGCTGTCGGAATGTTGGGGTAGTCACAAAAAATAACAGT